AACCAAGTCCAGCAGTCCGGTTCTATTGGCTTTTTGCTTCAATGTGCTTCTAAAATGCTACAAAAATAGAGAAGAGAGATTTTGAAGGGTTTTTTACATTTAATAATATTTATTTATATTTTCATTCAATTATGTGCAAACTAATCTAACAACAATTATTAATGGTATATTTATTCATGTAAAATAGATAATGAGGGTATAAAATTGTAATAAAATGTGATTATCAAATACCCCCACACCTAAACTTTTGCTAGTCCTCTAGCAAAGAAAATCCTAACTCACTTTCGTAGGAATCGCGGTTGTATTTAGCGCATACAGCAAGCCTTTAAACCCCTAGGTTACCCTAGTGGACGAGTTGTAGTCTCGTGAGGGTTTGCAGTGAATATACCCACAAAATTCGGTCAACTTGCCAAGTTAAAAAAAAGTCAGTAAATAAAAGATTTTGCTTGATATAAACTCTTTGTTTTAAATAAATTTCAAGTTTCTTGATCAAAAATTATTTTTCAAGACCATATATACAAAACAACAATATATAAAAACAATTGTTAGTGTTATATATATGTATATATATTTTTTTTCACTCTCTAATTCTTGGTGATTGTTTTCTATTTTAACGGGCTTTCTAAGTGACCATTTAACGAGTTTTGGGCCAATGAATCCCAACCCAATTGGGCTTAGGTCATTAAGTATAGAGATACTCCTTGGGCTTAATTGCTCAGTCAACTTAGGCTTTATAAGATAGAATCACCTTGAATTTAAGAGTTTTTTTTTTTTGGTGTCCATTTTTCGCACTCTTCTTTTATAAGGTTAGTTTTTTTTTAATATATATATGTGTAAGTATATATAGTCTTAAAAAAAATTGTGTAAATCAAGATAACTTGAAAAAATATTTTCAACTCTAAGTTAAGCATGCAAAAATTTCATTATTTTTAATTAAAAATCTAAGGTAAGACTTAAGTAAAGTATACTAGTTGAAAAATCATTTCTTAAGAATTTTATTTGGAGTTATCATAAAAGGTGAACTTGAATATGTCACTAACTAAGAATTAGAAAATTTAAAATCTATCAATTTGATCAATTATTACTTAACTCTATTAATTTGGCAAGTGAATCTTTTTTTTTTTTTTTTTACTAACAAAAGATAAATGCTGAGAGAGAGAGAGAGAGAAAAAAAAATACTAAAACAAAATACTAACTAGCAAAACAAAAGCTTAACTAGCTTACACCCCCATACCCAGACTTTGCAATGTCCTCAATGCACATAATATCCAAAATATCACAGTTTAATAAGTACATGCCAAAAAAAATCAAAGACTGGGTAAAGTAGAAAGAACATCCCTCACTGCTCATCTCCTGATATATCGTCATCCACATCATCAGCGGTAGCTGCTGAACTCGGTCCCGCCTCATCCTCTCCTGGGAAATCATCTGGCTGAAATGGTGTGATATAACTATGAAGCTCAGGTGGAGGTCCATCTGTATCTCCATGTTCTCTCTGCCATCCTCTCGCCAAATATGCCAGGGTATCGGTAGAGTAGCTGATCTGACCATGCATCTCGTGTATATGCCGCTGCATCCTGTGTATCTGTATCTGCATTCTGTCCATGCGACTCCGCATCGTATCCATCTCCTCTCGAGTGGGGTCATGTGTAGCTGGCTGGTGCTGAGGAGGCTCTCTACCTGAAGGACCGGACTGATCTCGTCCTGAAATGCTCCTCCTCACAGTCTGATCATTTAGTAACCCCTTCCCTGCTTCTAACCTATCCTCTGCGAATACTGGAACATGAAATCTATGGCAGAGTCTAGTGATGAAATAGGGGTAAATGAGCTGAGTACGTGATGCAGACTGTGTCCTGACCCAATCTAACACATTCTCCACTGATGAGCGCATCCATATAAATATAATCCTCGCTATATCAAATCGCTGACCAGTGGCTATCCAAAAGAGAAGGAGAATATCGTGTGGGGTAATGACGGAGTATGCAGTGGTGGGTTTCAAATCAAAGTTCAGGAAAAGATTAAGTAATCTATATTCTGGTTTGAGATTTCCTGAACCGAAACTAGATGTAAAGATCCTCCCACACAAGGTTGCAGACATGTTGTTGTATTCTGGTGTACCAGGCTGTAAAGTAGAGGCTAAATGGAAGTAATCTGGTACATCAGTGGGTGGTTCTGCAAGGTCAAGGGTAGCACGGATAGTGGAAAGATCGAAAAGAACTCTAACACCCCTCATGATAGAAAAAGCTAAAAATTCTCTATTTGGATCAATCTCCCATCCAGAATAGAACTCATGCACTAATGAAATGTTTGCTTTTTCTAAGGGTTTAGTCATCATGCTCCTAAGACCTACTACAGTTAACATGGTGACTGTGGAATGATATGTATGCAGTGCACTCATCTGAAATCCCCTCTCAAAATGAATGTTAAGACTGACAATTCTGGCTAAAATAGTGAGCCTATCTATGTCGGTTTCAGATGGATCAGAAGATGATGAACTTGCTCGAGATTTCTTTCTGGGGGGCATCTACAGAGAAAAGAAAAGAAAAAGAAAAAAATTTAATAATAAAATTCCAAAATTGTTTATTTATTTATTTTTTTTTATTTACCTACAAATTGTTCCACATGAGTTAATTTCAAGTTATCAGAATTTTTTTGATAATAAATTCCCTCAAAATTATTATTTGAGAACAAAAATGTTAAAATTTTGATAACTTGATCGGTGAAACATACATGTTGAAATGACAATTATAAGCTAAACCTTACAATTGTTGAATAAAATATCCAGTACAAATTTCCGAATGTGAGAAGTATCCAATTAGACTTTTATTTGACTAATTACTCATATTTGCACAAAACACCCTAAATTCAAATTTATTTTTGCAAACCCCCCTAATTTTTTCGGATTTGCATAAAACACCCAATTTTTTTTTCAATTTGAAATCACGTACCTAATTGAATGTTCAAAATTATGTGTTTTTGCACAAAAACCCTAAGAATTTTTGGATTTTGCATAACCCCCCATGTTTTTTTCGGTTTT